AAAATTGTGCTATTGCGCATTCGATTGTCGATTTAGTATTTCGTCACCATGATTATTCGAATAACAATCGACAAACTCCTAATTGTACGCACATCGCACACTTCAATCCGCAGCTATGTAATGCATCAGGCGCTATAAATCTTAGAACATTTAATTTGGAAATCTGTGAAATGCTCTTATGCAAAACTAAGATAGTAAACTATTTGAAACGATATCTACTTTTCGGATTATACAAAGGTACTCTGTGTAATGCATGCGAGTGTGCGCTGTGCGTCGATGCAACGACGTGGCATTGCGTGCGGGACAATGTTGAATGCGTCGATTGTTTTTAAGTAATACTTAATACATATTTTAATTTGTTTACTTTAGTTGGTTTTGACTTTTTTAGAGAAAGGTCACGCACGGTTTATGAACGACCGGCTTGACGCGAAGCCTAAAAATGATAATATAATTTAACTATTGAATTAATAAACTTTTAAATGCGCTTAGCTTAATAAGACTTTCTAATACTAGAGCGTCCTGTACCTATTAAAGTATGAAGAAATGTTTATTGAATTATAATATCATGCGTAAAATTTAAGCAATAAAATTAACATCAACAATTTAAAACTTAAAATTCAATACAAAAGTAAGTAAATATAGTAACTTAAAAAAAATAACAAATAAATTTTAACAAATAAATAAAATTAGCCATTAACGCCATGTCTAGAATGGATGCTCTCTCAATCAATGGTTTGATTATAATATAAAACAGAGAATTGAATAATCTATTGGGGCCAATCGCATACCTAATAACTGCAGTCTTAACGTAAGTAGTGGCGCACAGACTTAGCGCAGCGCACCGCAAGTCCGCCGTACCATCTTTTCTAATAACTTATTTAGTAGTAGGGGAAGGAGGGGGAAAACCGGATAGAGGGTGAAACCAGATAGTTACTATTTCATTATTCCGCGTATAGCTAGTGGAGAAATACGTGCGAACGCTTACTTAGTGGTGCTGTTGCAAATGGCGAAGACGGTTACATCTCAGCGCGTGCGTCTATTAACGAAAATTGAAAACAAAGGTACGTTACACGATACGATTATACGATACATATAATAAAAATGTAAAAAGCAGACGTCTGTACATTTTATATTTTTGTAATAAAAGTGATTGAGAGGTACTAAAAATAAGTAACTAAATACATTTCTACCATTTTTAGAATTTTCTGTCTGTCTGTCTGTCTGTTTGTTTGTTAACGTATCACGTATAAAGTACTAATTTATATCATAAGAATCATTAAGTAAAATATAAAGTGTATCTTCGTGTTACATTTAGTCTTTATTTTATTAAAATCAGTTCATACAATCAAAAGTTATGATAAATATTCTGAAGTATGAATACGAAGTATAGGTACGAATTTGTTCAACGGTGGCGATGGTTGAGTCATCAAGTGCATTTTAAACTAATACCATATCATAAATCATAATTAAATTAGGTAAAATAATGTTCTATAATGATATAATTATATCTAAAACGCAGTAAGCAAAAGTATTAAAAAACGTATTAAATAAAATATACAAAAATATATTATAACTTTATTAACTAAATCTAAAGTGAAATAGTTAACCAATTTCATCGATAGATGGCGGTATGGTGCAAATGTAATAGGTATAAAAAGGCGTTTTGCTTACTATGCAGACACTGGTTTATAAGTTCTTTTATGTTTTATATATATAATAATGTACCAATCACGTCAATTAATCTCTTTTATTTTTAGAATTGATTGCTGTTAGCAGCGCCATCTCTCTTTAAATATATACTTATAATAAAAATGGTGATAACATGTTGGTCTGTTTTTGTACATTGTATAGAATATTTGTCACTAAAATCATTATAGGGAAATGAAAATAATTAAATAAGCATATTTTTATAATTTTTAGAATTGTCTGTCTGTCTGTCTGTGTGTTTATAAACGCATCACATCTAAAGTAAACATTTTTTTTAAAGAAATCGTTAAGAAAATCATAAAGCGTATCTTCAAGTTACATTTAATTTTTGTTTTAGTAAATTTGGTTAATTCTATGGAAAGTTATGATTATTAGTTTAAAATGTAGGTTCGAATTTGTTCAATGGCGCCATAAAATCTCAGAAAAAGTAATAAAAAGATTTGTGTGTAAAAAAACGTTCTATAATAATATATTTATACTTAAAACACAGTAAACAGTAAAAAAGATGTTTTCTTTAAATTAAAAAAGTTTTCTCATAAAGAACGTAATAGATGGCGTTGTACAAATTACATTCTTTTCTGAATTGCGGCGTTAAGATACTCCGAATCGTATTGACTCACTGACGTGCAGTCACAGTCTCAAAATAACCATACCAGAACCAATGTCGATAGTTATATATTTTCAATTTCAACTTAATAAATTAAATTAAATGATATATTATATTATGAGTTTATTATGAGTTATAAATATATGTGTATATACCTAGTCAGGTCATAAGTATTGTCACACAGTAAAAACTTCTTTTAGAATGCTGGCCACAAAAAAGTTTATTGAATTCGAATTTCGAATTGTTCATGAAAATGAAACTGTATACTTTTTAGAATTTTACTCATTTTTAAATATGGAGTGGACGCTTAAAGAAGACCGTGTTGCAGTTATTGCGTTGCATCGTTGCGGTTACGCGCCAATTCAAATTTTTGACATACTGAAAAATTTGAATATAACCAAAAGATTTCCATCCTCGCTCATGGTATGGTTGGAAGTTTCTTATTGGGGCTTAACAGAGGTACATTTTTGTGAGAAACGTGTAAAAACGAATGCAGTTGTGTATCAAAATACAGTCCTGACGAACCTTGTGGAACTTGTTTCTCATACCATGTTCAATAACAGGTAATGGGTATTCCAATAAGATTCGGCGCCAGCTAATAGAGCGAAGAGCACACAAGACTGGCTGGCGGCGCGTGAAATCGATTTCATCCGGCACGAAGACTGGCCCTCCTCCAGTCCAGATTTGTATCCGTTAGATTACAAGATATGGCAACACTTGGAGGAAAAGGCGTGCTCAAAGCCTCATCCCAATTTGGAGTCACTCAAGACATCCTTGATTAAGGCAGCCGCCGATATTGACATGGACCTCGTTCGTGCTGCGATAGACGACTGGCCGCGCAGATTGAAGGCCTGTATTCAAAATCACGGAGGTCATTTTGAATAAACTTTAGTGTCATAAGAATCTATGTTTTGTTAAGTTCATTTTGGTATATAAATAGTTACATAATGAATAAACTTGTTTCAATTATTTTATATTAAACATGTGACAGAATTTATGAACTGACTAGGTATAAGTAAAATAGTCAATTTATTTTGTATCAGATTATAATGAACATACTAATATCCGAAATCACAACTTCCCACAAATTAATAGCGAAGTCATATCCCAACTTCAAAGGATGCTACATGAAATAAATCCATACGTTAGGGTAGGGTTGCATTGCAATCGATCCGTCAAGATTTAATAAACAATTATAAAATAGTTATTAACGCTGACAGACGTCCTGTTACTGAACACCGCGGTAGCAACGTTCCTGTCACTGATGAAGTGGCAGTGGTATTAGTTGACCAGGAGTGCGATAGACGTGACATCGCGTTGCACACACATGACGATTGACTGCCAAGGATTTATGAAACGTATCGATATTATGATGCTCTACAATATCCATTAATATATTGTCACTTTTAATAAAAAAAGTATTTGCTCTATAATTTTATTCGCACTTGTTACATGTAAGGCATAATCGTCTTGCGTATCTGCAAAGATTTCGGGGGTTGTTTAACCAATTTATAGTGGACATGTATGCGAAAATAGAGACGGAGCGCTTGGTGTATATACGCACTAACCAGAGACGTCTGTTACACTGACCTTATCACTTATTGATACAGTAATGACATAAATCGTTTAATATTCTCTTACCTGAATGTCAAATTCTCTAAGTAAAACCTATATATGCGAGCTACGCCGCGGGCACAGCTAGTTATCTAATATTTTGATTTTTTTAAAGTGTTATCATTAAGTGTAGCTGTGTGCAACCATAAATAATTGTTTAATTTACGAAGTAATACATATTTAACCTTCTAAACCGGTATTTGTTGTTGCTATGTGTGTAAGCATAACTTGTTGGTTATTACAGTTTCAAACATGGTACTTATGGGGTACAAGCGAACGGGGTGATTTCGACTATCCAGTTTCACCCCGATTGATTTGTATGCAGATATTGTGGGCGTTTGTTTTATTTCTCTTTTTAATTACTACTTTTTCTTTTCTTTTTACAGACTGCAAGCGTCAGCGTGCCACGACCATACGTGAGAAAGTCAAATAGGCTTCAATGGTCGGTGGTCATAAATTCCGTGATGGAAGGTAGAATGGGATATTTTTTAGCGTCAAACACATACAATGTACCCGAAAGTTCGATAGAAGATCGTGTAAAGAAGTTCAAAAATAGAAAATCCAAATATGAAATGTTTTGAAAGTGCCCTTCACTGATGAGCTGGAAGGCTAGTCGAACATATTAAAACTATGGAATCTCGACTATTTGGATTGACTAAAATAGACCTGCGACGTTTGGCATTCCAATTAGCTGAAAGAAATAATTTAAACCATGTTTTTAATAAAGGAACTGGACTCGCTGGCTTAGATTGGGTTAGTGGATTTCTAAAACGACATTCTGAATTATCGCTAAGATCACCTGAAGCAACATCAGCTGCAAGAGCAATGGGGTTTAATAGGTCTATAGTAACGTCATTTTTTAATCTTTAAGAAACACTTTATGTTAAGCACGCTTTCAATTCCACGCGAATTTATAACATGGACGAGACTGGACTGACCTCAGTACCAAAAAAAAAAATTGGAAAAATTGGACCTGCAATACGTATAAATTATAATTGGCAACACTTATTGACAACAGTGATGCCTATGCGATATGCGAGCCGACCGCATAGTAGAACGCACACGCACTGACCTGCAGCAGCGCGGTGTGCACGCGGCAGGCGCACACGGCGCCGTTCCTGCGCGAGCACGGCGCGCCCAGCCACGCGCACGCGCCGCCCCGCTGCATCGCGCACGCGCGCGCTCATGCCGCACCCCGCACCCCGAGCCTACCCGATCTCACGTTCACGCACCACAGTTCGTCACTTCAACGTCCCGCACAACTCACAAACACCGTTTATCTATACTTGATACCAAATATCGACCAATTAGGCTTTGTTTGAGGGTAATATGTCACATATGAGAAGAAAGCTAAGCACGATTAAACTCTGTGGACGTTAAAATACTAATGTTAAACTGAACACCTAACCTTGCAATTTAAGTAATTTTGTAGCTAATTATTTGAAGTAATAAATAATAATTATAACTTTTAACAAAAATTAAAAACCAACGTCAAATTGCTAAAAAAGAAGTTATTTATTTGCTACCCTTAGGGAGGAATTTCTTTACCCAAATTTATATGGGTGGTCCCATATAAATTGGAAGTATAACCTGTTTAATGAAAAAATAATCATTAAAATCATATGAAATTCCTCAAATAATATTCCAATATGAAACCTTTTCCCTATTTTCCACCCTTGGGGGCGGAATTTTTTCATCAAAATTTAATGAGACCACCCTTGAGATTAAAACCTATTTATTAAAAAAAGGAAATCATTAAAATCGGTCTACAATCTGCCAAGATACCGCATAACATACATACAAAAAACATATACTCGAATTGAGTATATCCTCCTTTTTGAAGTCGGTTAAAATATCGAGAATACACACACACACACACACAGACACACCGCCAATATTTATATATGAATAGTATATCAATATCAATAATATTTCAATAATTATTATTTAAGTATAACTCATCTTTACGTGGTAGAGCCATGCTGGAGGTATATTAATAGTATCTATAGTTGCAGAACGAATGGGTCGGCTCGATCGGGGAAAGACCACGCTCTCACAGAATACCAGCCTAAAATAGCAGCTTAATGCTGCTGTGTTTCGTGTGGTGAGTGTATAGAACCGGAGATCCATTTTACTGGAAAAGAGGCATCCAATCTTAGTCCTCACGGCTGACAACGCATTCTGCATTTTAATTTGCAAACGAAGACAGATGTAGATGTCTATGGGCCACAGCAACTGTTTACCATCAGGTTGCACTATGTGCTCGTTTATCACCCTTATTCTATAAAAAAATCCAATAAAGTGTATATATTTGAAGTGAAATTTTTAACTTAAGTATAATATATCACATTATCAGTCATGAAGTTCGCCACTTCAACGCTTTCCCGCACAACTCACATTCACTGTTTTCTTATATACCGTATTATATATCTATTTTTGATATAAAATATCGACCAATTTTGCTTTGTTTGATGGCAATAGTGTCACATATGTGGAGAAAACTATTGCACTATTAAATTCTATGGATGTTGAAGTACAACTTTTACGCAGTACACTTTTACAACAAAATCCCAGAAAATATACAAAATTTGACCTGCTCAAAGTTCAAAATCTTTATTAAACTAAATTTGTATAAAAAGGGTTATTATAATATTAATTAATTTATAGATGATCATAACCCCTGGGAATGAGGCGATCACTACCAATCTATTTATAATTTGTTTTGTGTGGTTAATTGTGTAACATACATGATAAATAAAAAATGACTTTCAATAAGTATTATGTAATAATCAATATTGAATAAAAATCATTCTATTCTATTCTATTGTAAGCTGTTATTTAAAAAAAGTCCCGCTGGGTTTCGTGCTGGCTCTTCCAGAACAGAGGATTTTTTTCGAACCAGTGGTAATTAAACAAAATAGTGTTTGTCTGTCTCTGTTTCTGTTTCCGTTTCAACATCATACAACAAAACATCTTCAAGTACGCCACTTCCACGTCCCGCACAACTCACACCCACCATATCTATATTTTGCTTTGTTTGATGGTAATATTGTAGCATAAGTAAAATAAAATATTGTAGTATTAAATTCTATGAACGCTGAAATACAACATCGAACAATAAAACATCTTCATAAAGTGAAGATCTATTTCTCTAATGTAGAATTTTGCAATTTCGTTAACAGCGGTAATAAAAAAAGGAAATATAATACGGCCGCTCCATCACCGCTAATGCCCGCGAAATCCCCGATGGCTTCATAACTCTCCGCGTGAAACGTTGCTTGATAAAATTAAACCAACGTCGGGAACGAAGTCCGATAATGGCCCTGACATGGCGGCGAGATAAGTCCATGTGGGCCCTTCCGATATATCGACAGGGATTGCCCGTAGACTTTAACGCTGTTTCATACTTGGATCCATTGGATCTATTGTTCTATGTTGTAAATAACATGATTTTTACGAGCAGACAGACCCAGTATTGTTTTACGCCTTGATTTATTATGGTTTATAAAAATATGAGATAAAGTATTAACGTAACTACGTAATAAAGATGTCGTGCACCTACAAATAACCGAAATCAAAAGTAAAGAGAAACTAGCGAATTAAAAAAATCCAAAAGTGCACACCTTGAACGGGATGGTTTACAATAGCGAAATTCAAAAGGCTTCCTAAGGATTAAAATCTAAAGCTAATAGAAAAGTCGAAGTGATAAGATCAGTTTATTTGGAATATATCTTGTTCACATCCATACCGACCAACTGGTGTCCAAGTGAAATTATTTTCAATTAACTTTTTTTTAATAATAATCGAAATAAATAATGTTATAACTACGTCAGAAGTATTAGTGATTTAAGTTGGGTGGATCGTGACAACAGTACCAGAAAAATTAGCATATTATGTTATCAATATTTATTGAAACTGCATTTACATGAATTGTCAAACACGATCGGACAGCATTTGAATCACAAATATCCGAATAAAAAATATCTTAAACACAATAGGTTCTTTTATCGGTGCTTTTAAAGAGTATAGATTGAAGTTCGACTATAGGAGCTATTATGTAGAAACTACTTTGTGCTTTTTAGGTCTTTCAAGTATTGGCTTTTACTTTTAATTAAAAGTTTACTTATATGACCTCTTGAGTGCACTAATAAATATCAGAAGCTATGGATACATAGATGTGATAGAATGTGGTGTTAATATTAACATTAAAATTTTCATCCCCTAATTTTCTATCTTTAGGGGTGGCGGTTTACACCAAGTTTATATGTCCCTGAAATTTTATATAATAAAAAAGAATAATTAAAATCGATTCACAATTGACGAAGATATTGCGTAACATACAATACAAAGGTGCAGGTGGCTCAGGACCGTGCTTTGTGGCATTCTTTGGGGGAGGGCCTATGTTCAGCAGTGGACTTGTGAAGGGCTGTAATGATGAATGATGATACAATACAAACAAGTGGTAAAATTAAAAATATTGTACAACCGACTTTAATATAAATTATTAAGGATAACTCAAAAACTACTGGGCAGACCTTGACCAAATTTATATGGTACCACATGAGAAGCACCAGATTTCAAATAAAATTATTTAAAATAAAAAATTGTGTACAGCCGACTTCAATATAAGTTATTGAGAATAACTATTGGTCTGACCTTGATCAAATTCATATGGGACCACAGAGAAGTATTAGCTTTCAAATAAAAAAAGAATCATCGAAATCGGTTCACCCAGTAAAAAACACACATAAAAGAAGAAGTCGGTTGAAAAAATATCATTTTGTCGAAAGAAGAACCTTCTTCTTTTTCAAATTCGGCTAATTAGAAGAACATAACATATCAGACAAGTAAACATCCTGTAGTGATCCATTTTATGGGAAAACAGCGACTCGCCTCAGGTTCCCCTGGATAGAATTTATTAAGATTATTAACTTGGAGTTATTAAGATTTAAGATAACCGGAGACTATCTAATTACAAATTTCGTTTTAAAAAAAAATTGAAGTCTTTCGAATAAAATATAGCCTGGCCTAGATCCCACCTGGCATTGCTCTCTATCTGTAAACTTAGTAACTTTCGGCGTAAGTGGTTTAGTCTTTCCGAAGAATTAGCCCGAACAGGCAGACAGATTTTTTAAAGATGGCTTGTCGTGTAGCGACAATTAAAAAAATATATAAAAAAAATAGAACCTAACCTAAGTACAACAAAATAACAAAGGTAGAGCCAGAAAACAATATATTTAAATTTAAAAAAGGTATTTACAATTTTATAAAAAAAATGATGTGAGGATGATGATGAATGAAGTGAGAATACAATTAGATTATAAAAAAAAAAGGTGAGAGAATAGGGGAATATAGCGTTGAAGTGGGGCCTAAAAGTCGAAGCGACACACGTTGCGTTTGTAGAAGTAGGTTTCTTAGCAGCGACGGCACGCAGCGCCTAAAGCCAGCACACGCCGTTTGCGCTTGTAGAAGTAGGTTTCTTAGCAGCGACGGCGCGCAGCGCCTGGAGCCAGTTCACGCAGCGTCCGTAGCCGGCGCACGTAGCGCCTGGAGAAGGGGCGCGCAACGCTTAGAGCCAGCAGTTGCAGCGCCCAAAGGTAGCGCCGGCGGTAGGTGCACTCGGCGCCTGGAGTAAGTAGTAGTAGTGCCCGGAGTAGTGTGGCCCCCGCGCTTGTAGTAGACTCGAAGCGACTTCCGAGGTAGATGGAGGCTTGTAGGATTCCGGAGTGGCGCGGCCCGAGTTTGAAGAAGGCTTCGCCGAAGACTTCACGTGTAAATGGAGGCTTGCAGGATCCCGGGGCAGTGCGGCCCCGGGATAAGGCCTTTAGGAGATACTTCCAATTCGCGAACTGAAGCGAGACTGCCTTTCTTCACCGATTGTTCGGCTTTTATACCTTTCTAGAGAGAACGGAAAAATTATTTAAATTATACGCAAATTTTTTGTAAATGGTCAAGAGAAAAGAGGATTTATGTGGAATTATCGAAATAGGAATAACAGATCGGTAGCAAATTTGAATATAATTACCATGGAAACGATATAAATAAGAAAGACAAAACATGTAAAATTTTTGTTTTTGGTTTATAATAAGAAAACGGTAAGATTTAAGTGGAAAATGAGATATTATTGATATAGGAAAAAAGGTAGCGCAGCTGCCCACACAAAGCCCA